TCATTGTCATCATTATTAGGGTATGCCATTCACCAAAACGCCGATCATTCAATAGCGTGTGCGTCATCGCAAAGCATGATGCAGCGGGCGAACGGATCTATTTGCATAACCTGTTAATAAGGGTTTGAGAGAAATCACTGCTTCCGAGCGTCAGGCAATCCGCCCTCTCAAGCTTCATCGGACCGCGTCATTGTTTGTTCACCAGCTACCTTGTATTCAGAGTCACTGGTTAGAAGGTGATTTGACTAATACATGGAGTGAAAACTCGCATTATGTAGCATGAAGGATAATAAGATACGACCTTATGCACCACCTGTTCCTTGTCTTGCCACTTTTAAAAATCCGGTTTTATCATCCTCATGGCCACCCTCCTAAATATAAGAGGCTGCCACTCGCCAAAGCGTCCACATGAAAGCAGATGTTGTAGCACTTTACCATGAACATCAGGTTAAGCTCGGGCCGGTGAGGCAAGACATGTCCGGTAGGGGCAACACGAATCTACTATCACTTAAAACTAAATCACACATAAGTCACCGTCCCTGTACCACCAGGCTGTGGAGCTCACAGTGGAAATCGTCGGAATTGACAGTCGAACTGTTGTACGTTCGTCTCAATTAGGGCGGTGGGAGAGTAGTCTCCCCCCTCTTCAACTTCCTCTGTTGAACCTAGATGGAGGACCTATCTCATTGAAGTTTCTAAGCTCTGTGATATGTTGCTTTGCTGTAACCCGCAATGTTTAGATTTCCTAGGCTTTCGGAGCGAATTTTTCGATCTTCAATACCAGTCATGCCACTCATTGTCCAGTTCTGCATATGTCTGTCTCAAAACCGGTCGGCAAGTTTCGTTCCGTTCCTCACCTGATGTATTGATGTACGTTCGGAATTTCCCTGGTCTAGGACTGAACAGAAGCAGTCTCTATAGCTTGGCGCTGAAGTCTAAATCTCTCCGTTTTTTTTATTTCAGGAGGGTCATTTTTGTGTGGAAGTTTCTCGAGCCGAGTTGTATCGTGTGCGTTCTAACATCCCCATCAGGAACCAACTTCGCAAGGATATGTACAGGTTTGTTCCGACAAGATGCAATTTTCTTTTGAAAATTAACTCTTAATTTTGGATAACATTCTATTTCAGAGTCCATAGGAATAGGTCAACAATATGACAGTGCAGGGCGGCCACATCACAAGAAACCAAACTGTCAATTTAGCTTTTGCTGCTATTGGGCGGGTAACTGTACCATCTGCTAACCCACCGCACAGTTCCTGCAGGTTTCTATGTATGTGCGCGGTGTATTTTTGATAATTTCGTGTCTCGGCTTCCCAGAGTGGTATTCATTGAAATAGCAGATATGCATATCAGGAACCAAGTTTTGATTTCCGAAACGCAGCATGGTGCAGTTGTTCTCCAGTCAGACGACAAGAATCACCATTGGGACAATTCGTCCAATCGGGAGCCCCTGTCATCGCAGCACTGTAGACGACCTCCCAAGTATTTGTATAATCCGTGGACGTATCACATTTACAACCCAATTATAAGGCAGATAGTGTTGCCGGCAAAGCCAAGCGAGACTGGAATGACCATTGCTGGCTTATTAGCCGTCATCAGCTAGTCATGCCCGGCCGCAAGTGGTGCACCAGCCGAGGCTCGAACTCACGACTTTTTTGTCAGTCTAACGCCCTATACACTGAGCAACGAGCTCAGTACCGTGCAATACGAGGCCGCAAGGTTGCACTTGCGCACGAGAGGGGGTCGAATGACGGCCATTGACCGCGTTCGCATTGTCCGGACGAGAGGAGCCCACGGCCGCGTGACAACACCAGTCATCGGCCTGCCTAGCCATAACTTCACCAATAAATACTGTGATGATTCGTCTGACTATTACCTTTGACAATGAAAGCTTGTTTGATTCTGAAACGTTCGGACGATAAACCTTTGGTTCCCGTGATCGCCTTACCTTCTCAAAACATTATTGGACCTTCCTTAGTGAATATATATCCGGTCTGCAGTGACAGCAAATGGCAGGTGGCGAGACATTAATGAACTGCGGTTCGATGAAGTGCTTATGACCAATCTAGTAGACCCAAGTGGTGGACTATCTGCGCCATCTGTGGGTGCGCATGTTTGTTTTGTCCGACCCAGCTGATTATCAGGGTTGTTAGGATGGTAGCCTGACCAAAGGCTAGCAACCTTGTCGGCTCTCCTAAGGCGTCGAGCCTGCCGCTGACCGCCGCAATAATTCCTTTGTTCAATAGCGTTAGCTGGGCTGGCCCCCAAGTAATGACCTTAGACCGGAAGCGGACACGCACCCCAATGCAGTGTTAGGATACTTCCTACCAAGCAGCCCGTATGAA